GAAACGCGTGTCGCCCTCGAGGTCCCGCTAGGCCGAGGGGTGGACCTGGGTGGCGGGTGCGCCCCGGGCAGGGCCCCTTTGGGTGCAGAGGGGCCCCCGGCCGCTCTCTAAAACCAACCCATAGAATTATTTTTTTGCAAAATAATTTAAAAAATAATAAGAAGAAGGAGAAAATGCATTGTGCGGTCAACCCACGCGCGACGGGGACTCCCCCGCGGGGATACACCGGCGACATCGGTTGGGGCTGCCCGCGCCCCGTGGGGCCTGTTGATTCGGTTTTAATTTTCCCCTCAAGCTCCGGTCGTTCCAAGGCCGCCGTGAGCAGCACCCACGTGCACGGCGCCGCCGCCCCTCCCCCAGGACGCCGGGCCCGCGTGGAAATGTCTCCGTCCCGCAGACAGCAGCGCGCCCGCTCAGGTTGGTGGCACACCAGGACCTTTCCCAAACTGGGTACCGTAGGCACCCCCGGGGTTCCCCTCGGGTGACCGGCAGTACGCGCGGCCTGTTTGTTGGCGGTGGTGTTCTCCAGCGTCTGCGATGGGGGTACAGCGTGGACGCCCCCAGGGAAGCACCCCTGGGCCCCAGCTCCCCGGGGAGCCTCCCGCCAGCAGCTTCTTCACCGCGCAGCCTCGAGTCCGGTTGTCGTCTCTCAAACCCCAGGGCTCAGCTCCGGCTCCGTCTCGACCTTCCCCGGCCTCTCGTTTCTCTCTCGCGTCCCCTTGCTCATTTCTCCCCTTTATTGTTTCTGAAGCAGGTGGACGTTGAAGGACTGGCCACGCCGGCTGCTTCCCTCTCTTTGGATTTCCCGGCTGGTGTCACTTTTAGGGGGGCGCCGTCCCCACCCTAGTCCCTCGGACAGGACTTCCTTCCCCCTCCTGGGGGCTCGTTCCTGCCTGTGGGTCAGCTCTGTCTCAGGGGGATTGTTCCCACTGACCGTTGCCTTCTGTGGTCTGTAGATTTCTGTTTTTCCCGGTACACGCTCCAGAATTCTGTCGGTTGTGTTATTTTTTATGATTTAAGAATGGCTCTGCGTGGACTTACTGCCCACGCGCTTCGTAAAAATAATCCTCATTTCCTGCATTTTATATTCATGAATTTCCTTTTCTCTCTCTCTCTCTCCCTCTCCCTCTCTCTCTCTTTCACTGGGATATTTATTATTTTCTAACTAGGTTAACTAGTTAGTTCATCGAAGGTATTTTTTAAAAATATATTTATTGATTTCAGAGAGAGGACGGGTGGGGAGAGGGAGAGAGAGAAATATCAATGATGAGAGTCATTGATCGGCTGCCTCCTTCACGCCCCCTACTGGGGATCAAACCCGCACCCCGGGATATGCCCTGACCGGGAATCGAACCTGAATCTCCTGGATCCTAGGTTCATGCTCAACTGCTGAGCCATACCCCATCCTGCGAAGGTATTTTTAATAATGATGTTTGAGCCAACTATTTAAATCCCAGCTCAGCTTGGGCCATGGGCCATAATGTTTGCCATTGTAAGGTTATTAAAATTGCACCCTCATAACCTCCTGGGTTTAATGGATCCACGAAATTAAATTTCAAACCTGGGCACAACAATTGTGAAAGTATGAACACAGTTCTATATAGAAAAAGTATGAAAGCAATTATAAAAACAATCATAAGGTTATAGACGCTCCAGCTGCAGTGAGGTATCAGAGCTCCGGCCAGAGGGCTGCTTGGGTTTCATTGCTGCGTGAGCTGGACTGGACCTCATTCTGATGAAGTTGCCTGTGGTCCACTGTAGACCCCCCCTTACAGCTCACTTCCCACCTCCCTTCTGACAGGAGACAATACTGAACCAGGGCCTGTGAGTCAGGACCACTGTGAGGCAATATGCTCAGAGGGTTTAGAGCATTGGAACTGATGCTTAAGTTCGGAACCAAGTACAAGGCAGACCCTTCGTGATGCCCATCCTTGGAGCCCAACTGTACACCTGCTAAGGTGATATCATTTCTACCTAGGAAAAGATCTGCTGAAGAGGCTCCATTTCCCAACTGGAAGAAAATTCATGGAGGGGGTAAGGGTGGTAAAAATTAAAGCTTGGGATAGGCTTCAAGTAGAGAAAGTGCACCTACATGTGTATCATAGGAGGGGTCAGCAGGTTGATTGCTGCCTAATAAGGTGCTTTACCCAGAAACCAGAGATGCACATCTTCATTATAGCAAGGAAAGGCACAGATGACACTGTCAGAAAGAAGGGAAAGCCGGTGCTCATGAGGCATTCACAACTTCCTTTTTTAAAATAATTATTTTAGAGAGAGAAAGATCTATTTGTTGCTCTGCCTATTTGCTTGATTCTTGTATGTGCCCTTACTGGGGATCGAACCCACAATCTTGGCATATCGATTGGGATGATGCTCTAACCAACTGAGCCACCTGGCCAGGGCCTCCCACAACTTCTTTAATTCAAGGTCAAGATTCGGGTCTAAAGCTCCAGTGATAAGTTGGGTTTGCTGGGTTCTCCAAGGTCCGTATGAAAAACAAATTGTCTTAGGGCCAGAAGCTTAGAAACCAAGCCTGAAGTTTATACAACATCTGCCAAACAATCTCACGAAGGGCTACTCTTTAAGTCAAGACTCTGTAAATCAAGCTCCATGGACTCAGGACGTATATGGAGAAGCTACAACAGAGTCTTCTGGTGCGGACAGTTTTGCTGGTGGGTGCCTCAAACTCTGTAATGTGAAACAGATTACACAGCTGTGGATAGGCTGTTCTTGGCAGGCTGGGGACTAGGAGGAGAGGCCCGTCCTGGCACTGGTTTCCATAGCGAACAGGGGAAGGGGGGTCACCCCAGAGACTCCAATGAACAGCACGCATGCTCACAGCATAGAGGCCCAGGGGCCCCCGGTTGAAACGTGAATCCTTCTGGCTCCCTCCTGTCCACATAGGCGTAGCCTCAACCTCAGAGCCCCCATCCCGGCCCCAAATACAGGCCAGAGGATTGAGAAAGAGAACTCACGTTAATGTGTTCAGCAACTATTGAGCAATGTCGATCATGTGCCTGAAAGAATTCCAGCTTAGAGGAGTAGCTCAGGCTGAGGGGGAAACCAATCCATCCAGACTGCTTGGCAGCCTGGCCCCTTTTTTGTTAGGAAAGAATATGAAGTGAGGCCAGGCGCTGCTGTTTTCACAGTTGGGAGGGGAGGGGAGGGGGCTTGACCCCTGGCCCCTTAGCCCCTCCAGTCTCCCTAGGGGGACACGGCGCATGCCTGGCCAACTGAAGCCCAAGGACATGCCCTGAAACAGACCTTGTGTTTCTGTCAAGACCCGCAAGGCAGTCACTGAGGGACTGGTCTTTAGAAAGGTCACCTGGAATCAGATATCAGATAATTCTGGAGGTGGGGGACAGGTGGATACGAGACCTTCCATGGGACTCCATGAGAAGAAAAAATCATGGCTTGTGTTTCATCTTCACCCTGAAACTGTTGATTAAAAACTACATTTCAGGCATTGATGCTGGGATATAATGAGAGGCAAGGTTTCTGCGACCCATAGTAAGGGGAAGTGTGGAAAAAGCTGGGCTGTAAGCAAACAAGGAAAGGAGCAATTAAATAATCACATGTTATAACACTTACTGCGAAGGCTGTCGCAGAAAATAGAGGAAACCAGTGTTGGACAGGGATGGCGAAGATATAAGGCACGAGACGATGTGGCGGGAGACTGAGTATCGGGCCACCAGGATTCTTTCTTGGGGGTGGCAGGAATTGAGCAGTGTCTGTGGCTAGATGGAGAAGAGAGTGGACGTGCCCAGCAAATATCTGGATGTGCAGGTCTCATGAAAGAGGCCTGGGCTGGAAAGAGAAGTTTGGGAAATTAAAGAAAATAAATAACATCACCCAGAGAGAGTCCCTAGAGTTGGGTTCTTCAAAGGGAGCCCTC